GTTGTTTTAATTAGGAATTGATATAATCTTGCTTGATTGATTGATATAATCGAAGAGTGACACTTCGATCTTGCAATTGGTAACAATTGAATGTTGATTAGTTGAGTTAGGGTTTTGTTGATTCTATGTGATTAGTCGGTTAATACCCTTCTAATTGAATTAGCGACTTTTTGAACCGAAAGGGGAGAAGTCGTAGACTTAGGCTCACATGAGGTAGAAGATGTTGTAATTGACTAATCTACGTGTTTTAGATTGAAATACGCACTTGTCAATGACCCGTCTCTTGTTACGAAAAGTTATTGGGATTGGGATAATTGGCCTGTGTCGTATGCTCGAACTTGTTTGTCCATGTTCAATCCCTTGTTACGAAGAGTTATTGGGAGCGAACCGCTAGATGTCTAAGCGAGAGTGTCAATCTTGAACCGAACAATTGATTGCCCGGTTTTGCTAGAACTTGAATTAATTATCCCCAATTCCCTAGCTTCTTTTTCATTGTTTCGTTTATCTTCTTAGGTAGGTTATTGCTTTTTATTATTTCTTAGTTGATAATTATTCATCCATCCTTATTCGATTAGAGTGTTTAGGTTTGTTTTCTGTTTATGTGTTATCGATATCAGAACTAAATTCCGAACAGCCTTCCTCGTGAGATCGACCTGGGGAACGAATCTTTAGATTCGATACTCGGTAAAAAGAATAATTTGTACACAGCACCACACGACGTTTGGATGGGACCTCTTTGAAGTCTAGGATCGACTCCACAACAATGAGTCAATAAAAAAAATCCACGGCGTCAAGCCCGCCCCAAAATTCCTACACCTCCACCCGAAAGCTGGACTTTTGCGACCATCATCGTTGTCGGCCGTGCGACGTGGCCTGAAAACCTCACCCCAGCCCTCGGCGTCTTGGTGCTCCGCACGCCACTCGCCATCGTCGTAGTCTTGTTGGTCCCTTCAGATGGCGAAAGGGTTGACATCTGATAGGTTTTACTTGCCATCGGGCATCGTTCGTAGAGACCGCAGATGGGGCACTTTGACCGGCCCTGTTCCGCCACGACCAACAAAGTTGAGTTAGTTAAGAGAGTCAGTCTTTGACAAGCATAGACTAGTCGGTCATTTGACTCTTTTATTAAATAATTACGAACTCGAACATAAAGTGTTCAGCTCGACTGGACTTTGAATAATACACCTAATGGAAAATATTTTATTTTTAATACCTTTTATGTCCTTATTGCTCACTACACATTTGAGGGCTCTTGGGATAAGACCAATATCTCCAATGTGAGCTAGAATACAACTTTACTTCGAAGTTGTGCGAAAAATTCGCTCTAATGTTGCGCTACATTTTGCACTACTTTAAAGATATGAACAGTGTTGCGCTACATTTTGCACTACTTTAAAAATATGAACAGTGTTGCGCTACATGTAACGTGACATTGTTCATCACGATGCAATATTTGTTTAAAACTTTGATTCTCCTTTTAATTGATTCGTATTCTATGTATTGTTTTAACAAATTAAACATTAATAATATAATTTAATTTCTTTAAATAATTTTAGATTTGATTTTATAGTTTTCTATATAATTTTTTTGTACTAATGTATTTTATATATAATAAAATGTAGCGCGAACGACTGGAGATGGAAGTTAAATTCTGACATATTCTACTATAGAGTGAAGTAAACTCTACACTGGACTAGATAATATGACTGAAGAAGGTCTAATCACATCTACTATTCCAATCTAAAGAAAGTGAGAAAATAATAAGAAGAAAAAGGGTGGACAAGAGAGGAAGATGATCAAGTGCATTAAATGAACATGCTATACAAGTACTTACGAGTTAGGGTTATCTACTATGACAATGTAAGTAAAGAATTAACCATGTGCTTAACACCTAATTACGCACTTGCTTAGAAGCCAATTGGCCTTTAAAAATTTCATGTTGAACTAAAGCTGCAAAAATCAGTTTTCTTTCTTTAATTTTTATTAGTCATTATTATAATTATTTAGTTGTTCTTTTGTATTTAGTTAGACCAAATAAATGAGCAGGAATCAATTATTCAATTATTCAGTTGTTTTTTTAATATATTAACATTACAAATGTGTGCATGCTACATAAACGATGAACATACTAATATGTGCCCGCCGTGGGTAGGGGAGCGTTACTGTTCAACAGTAATTCAAAAGTATAATCCTTCGAACATGAATTTGAAAGGACCTTTAGTTACATGGTTAGAAAGTGGGAGTTCAAACATATATCATTGCTTCAAGTATCTTGATCTGTTATACCACAAACACTTGAACCGTTGAACCGCTCCTCTTCGAACCGAGTTACGTCTTCTTGATCGCCGATACCTGCAAAACACGCTGGGGGTGGTCCCGACGCGAATACTCAGACGCTCAAGTCAGTGATGGTCCGAAGGAAAAACGGAAGAGTAACGAGAGAATTTTTATGTGTGTGTTGTTTAGAATGAATGAACCTGTGCCCTTTTATAGATGAGGTCATGTAGTAGTTGAAGAGTTCTTATCATACTAGGAGTCTTCCCATCAGATTAGGTCAAAATCCTAAGAATCCTTGAGGTTGTGAACCTCTTCATGACTTGAGCACGATACCCCCTCCGGGCTTTGGTCCCCTCAGAGGGACGTCCAACTACCTAGGTGCCAAGGTGCCTGCCTAGCTCACACTGAGCTAGCCTCCGCCTACAACCCATGTACTTTAACGCCACCATGGGTTGTGCCTACCAGAGCCTCCGCCTACCAGAACCTTCGCCTACCAGAGCATCCGCCTACCAGATTGAACCACCCAGCTGAGTGCGACTAGAACCCGAGTCGCAACCGGTTTTTCATGAGCCGCTACTAACGACACATCATGATCAATTCTGATTCTCATAAAGTATAAGATATAATAATTTCTCAAAGGAGAATGGAACAACAATATTATTTTAACCGTTTTCACGATATCGCATGAATCTCAATTCACTTTTCTTCTAACAAAATATCAACACATTTGAAGTGATGAACTAAAAGTAATTTACATTCAAAAGTGTGTGATATGCAAGTTCGATTATAGTTGGGCTCGGATTTGCTGAGCAAAACAATTGTATAGTTGAACATGAACTGACTGGTGTAATATACAAGTTCGATTACAGTTCTGGCATGAACTCATGGTCAACATGTCGGGAACGACAATTTATCGGGCCAAATAGACTCCACGTTGACATGTAAATGCTTAATCTTGTTCGTGCTGATCTATTGTCTAACGAGCGCCTAGTGACTTTTTTTTTTTTAACAATGATTCGGGTTAGACATGGCCAAGGCCTGCCCGGCCCATCGACTCAACACAGACTCGACTCAGTCAAACCCGTTGACCACGAGTCTGAGACCAGACCGTATTTTTGCCGGGCCGTGTCAGGGTCATTCATTTCATGACCTAGCCTGGCGGTTTTTTTTTTCTTTTTAAATTATGTCTATTGTTTTTTTAAAAAAAATGACAGACTCGGTCTCAGCCTGGACCATGTCCTGGCCGGTCAATCGGGCTATTGACCAGGCACGTGTATAGGTCCGTGCCGGGTCCGGATTAATGTTTTCGAGCCCTGCGGTCCGGCCAGACCGTAACCCGCCCGAGTTTTGGCCATGTCTAGTTTGGTCTTTATTAAATTAGTCTTTGAAAAATGCTACTATGTATTTATTTATTTATATATATAAAAGGGTAAGTGAATCTTCTAATTTATGATAAGATTTTGGATTTAAAATCTCTAATTTTCGAAAGGCAATAATCTTATAAGTTATGGCCACAAGGATGTACAATTTAGTCTCTTAATTTTTATCAGAGAAAAGTGAATCTCTTTATTTATGGGAATGAGATTCCATTTAACTTTCTATTTTATTAAGACAGAAGTCAAAAACTTTTTTAATCATCACATTAAATAAATCAAATAATTGTTTGTTTGAAATTTGAAAACCTAAATATAAACAAAAGTTTGCTACAAATAGACGAACACACTTTCCACAACCCTAATTAAAAGGACTATTTACCAAAAAAAAAAAAAAATTATTTACCAAAGAAAATTGAAAATAAACAATTATTTTTCTGCTGGCGTGGGGTTTGTTAAGCTCAAAGCTGAGCTGGATCCGCACTCCAAGAAGTGACCCACTATGAGAGCACAAATGAGTAAAAAACTAAATAAAATTGTAATTCAAGAAAACCCATATTAAATTAATATCTAAGGAAAATTGTTACGAGAACCATTTTGTCGAGAGTTATAACCGTTATATCATTATGTAACAATCCTTGATAGTTGATTTAACGATTACAAACCTCAATAGAATTGTCTGTAACGGAACCGTAGCATCTCCCATTAACTAATAAAGAATAATAAAAAAATAATAAACTCAAAGAAAAGAAGAAAGAAGAGGGAAAAAAGAAAAGAAAAAAGGACAATAAATTATAGATCAAGAAAACCATAATAATTAATAAGAATTATAAAGGAAAAAGCACAAATTAAAGAAAAGGAGAAAAAATGGAAAAAAAAAAAGCAATATAATAAATTAAGAAACCAATTAATGAGAATAATAAGAAAATTAATAAATCCAACGAAGAGAGAGAGAGAGAGAGAGAGAGAGAGAGAGAGAGAGAGATGAGGAAAGGGCTCCTTGAATTTCTTCAATCACGCACACACACACACACACACACACAAACAGATATATAAAAGAAGCACTTTCTACTCTCCTTCTTCCTGTAGTCTTGTTCCTTATTCTTTAGTTTGTTCACTTCCTTCTAAAAAGCCCTTCTAAAACTAACAAAAAAAAATTCAATCTTGAACTCACCAACTTTTTCCTTTATCTATGTTATAATCGTGGGTTTTCGTAGATTTTCATTGACTGCGTATTAAACCTATGAATTTCGACCGACTTCCTATCTGGGTTTGTCCTGCATATTATCTGTAAAGCCACACTTCTTGAAAAAATTAAAAAAAAAAAAAATGAATCTTGGAGCGAATCCCATGTCTTTTAGTACTTCGAGCGTTTCTTGGAAGTCCGGCGATGGAGTTTCTGATCAATTTCCGGCGGGTCTGAGGGTTCTTGTCGTGGATGATGACCCAACTTGTCTGAGGATCTTGGAGAAGATGCTTAAGAATTGTTATTATGAAGGTAATTTTGATTTGATCAAATAAAACTCAACACACACATCTGTTTGTTCGTGCTTGTGTCTGCATCTCATGTGCAATTTGTGTTGTTTGATTTCTGATTTTTTATGTTATTGTGGTCTTTTTGGTGCTCAGTAAGTTCGATTTTTTTTATTTTTTTTTTTGTGGGTTTTTCTTGGGCTTGCTTTTTAGTAGATATTGATACCCAACAGATCTTATCTCGGATTATCTTGTGTTCCTGTTGCGTTATTTGTGTGTGTTCTGTTTTCTCTAGTGTTTTAGAGTGAGAAATTTAGGTTTCAATCCAATTGGGGGTGATTTGATTTGATTTGACCCGACTCCCTATGATTAACTTGTATCAGATTTCGAAATTTATTCTTGGACTGACTTTTAGATCTTTACTGCATAAATATAGTAGTGACTTGTTTGGGTTTATTGGTATCATAATCTTGAATTGTGAAGTATGTGAATTGTGGACCCATGTTATGTGAATTTTCTTGATAATTCAGTAATTGGTTTCTTTTTCAGTGACCAAATGTAGTCGAGCTGAGGTTGCCTTGAAGTTGCTTAGGGAAAACAAAGATGGGTTCGACGTTGTTATAAGCGATGTACACATGCCTGATATGGATGGTTTCAAGCTTCTTGAGCACGTTGGGCTCGAAATGGACTTGCCCGTCATCAGTAAGTGCTAATTTAATGACTCCTTCCTTGTGCGAAAACTATCCACTAAGTTTGAAATATGACATTCTTATCTGACACATAGTCCATCCTTGCAATTTTTGTGTATGTATTTCTAAATTCTGAGTCATAAATGAGTTTCTGCAGCAATTAGGCAAAACTTTGAGGATGTGTGTGTGTGTGTAAATTTGCTAATCCATTTGTTTTTGGTTTTGCTTAGTGATGTCGGCTGATGATAGCAAAAATGTGGTGATGAAAGGAGTGACTCACGGTGCGTGCGACTATCTCATTAAACCCGTTCGCATGGAAGCTCTGAAAAACATATGGCAGCACGTGGTTCGCAAAAAGAAGTACGAATGGAAGGAAAAGGAACAAGAACAGTCGGGAAGTGTGGAGGACGGTGAAAGGCAGCCGAAGCAGGAAGATGTGGATTACTCTTCCTCGGCCAATGAAGGGAATAATTGGAAAAGCTCCAAGAGAAGGAAGGAGGATGAGGAAGGTGAAGAGAAGGAGGACACGTCTACTCTCAAGAAGCCGAGGGTCGTTTGGTCGGTCGAGCTACACCAGCAGTTTGTAACGGCGGTCAATCAACTCGGGATAGACAGTGCGTTCCCTCTTTTGCCCTTTTTTCTTTTATTTTCTTTTTTATTTATATGTTTTCATATTGGGTTACGGGTGACAAGTAGTTTATTAAAGTTAATGCTTACATAGAGATACTATGCATTTATCAAACTTAAGAAGATCAAGTAATGTTTGATTTCCAGAGGTTCTTGTAAGTTTAAGCATCTTTGTACCTGCTTATCTTGGACATTATATATTTAAAGACCGCACATGTTATCAGAAATTGTGATAATTTTTTGTTTATTTTTGTCCTTTTGTCTATGTACTCGATAGAAAATTTCATAAATATTGGTATTTTCTCTTCAATTTTTTTTTTGGTAAGTAATTTTTTTTTGTTTAATTATTAACCTAATGCAGAGGCCGTCCCCAAGAAAATCCTTGAATTGATGAGTGTCCCAGGCCTCTCGAGAGAGAATGTTGCTAGCCACCTACAGGTTAGAAAAATGTTTACATTTGATCTTCTTTCGAATCATATTGTCCATTTTTTTCTGGTCACATTATATTGTTCTGACATCTCAAAATTTCTTCCTAACTTGGGTATCAATCGGTTCAGAAATATCGCCTTTACCTCAAGAGGCTCAGTGGACAGCACCAGAGTGGGCTTGGAAACACATACATGGGCCCTACCGACCCATCGTTCGGCCCACTAAATTCGCTCAACGGCGGGCTCGACTTCCCACTCCCAGTACAGAGCCTGGCCACAATCCAGGCGGCTTCCCTCAACCGTAACCCGACAAACAGGTTTCCCTTATCTTCCGGGCCCCTCATCGACCAACGGAATATATTCAGCTTTGAGAACCAGAGAATCAACCACACACAAAGCCGGCCCGTGAATTTACTCCATGGAATCCCCACCAGCATGGACTCGAGACAGCTGGCGGCCCTGCACCACCAGCCATTTGCGAACGTGAATTTACAGATGACCCCCCAGCCGAGAACCCAAATGCTGAATCAGCCCGCTTTCTCACAGGCGATTGCCACAACCGTCCCGGGCCTGAGTGGAGTTGACTATCCCCGTGGCCAGCCGTCTAATTTTGTTGACTTTTCAAGAAGTCAACGCCCGGATTTTCCGGTCACTACCAATACTTCTGCTACGAATAATAATAATAGTAATGGCTTTTCTCTGGTTGGCAATCCGGGAATTCCGAGCACGTCGGGTTATGATGTGTTTGGCAATCTGAACCAGAGCCGGTCAGATGAGTGGGGGTTGTCAGGCTTTGACGGGCCTCATCATGTAGGTACCCAAGCCCGGATTAACGTTGGGCCATCAGTTTTAGTTCAGCCAGGATCTTCGAATGGACCGAGTAGGGTCTCATCTTTTGTTAACCGAGAAGGTTTTTCGGCAGCTGAGGGGCCCAGCAGTAGCAGCCGTAATACGAATCTTGGTCCTCCAATTACTACTTCATCGCCAGCTGATAATTCTTCTCGAACAAAACCCGATAGGTTGGGTGACGTGGGCTTTCAGAATGGTTTGTTTTCGGATCAGTTAGGCCAGGAGGATCTCATGAGTGCACTTCTCAGACAGGTTAGTGTTGTTTATTGTTGTTGCCATTAATTGTGAGTAGTTATCCCTGAGATTTATTCTAATTACAGAAGGAACTAGCTGCTTTGCAAAATTTTCCCAAAAAATCCTTTGAAATTGCATTATTCTTTTGATGTTTAGTCTTTAAAAGCCTCTAACAAAAGCCTTTTCTCTCTTTTTTTTTTTCTTTTTTTTTTCCCATCATTTGCAGCCAGAAGGCTTGATGCCGGGCGAAAGTGATTTCAGCTTTGACGGATACAGCTTGGATGATCTTCCAGTGTGACAACCTTCTTTACTTTTAGACCCTCTTCTTGTACATATTTGCAGTTAACGATTGAGCAACTTTAAATCCTAGGTTTCTTTTTCTCCTTTCGTCTCGTTCTTTTTCTTCCCTTCTTCTTGGTTGCTTAATCGGCTGGAGGAAGTATGGTCTCGAAAATGTAGGGCTCTGATTCTTTCAAATGCAAGCGAACACACGCAGGACATCTTTCGGAGGAAGTGGCGTGGCATGGTACGCAAAGTGTACTTGCCTTTTCTAGAGTTAGTCGGTTATTTAGGTTAATCGAGCAAACTGGTCTAGTTGGGGATTGTCGTTCGTTTTTTTTTTTTTTTTTATTTATTTCTTGAATTCTGGACTTATGTCTGCTTGGTATAGCTGCAGGCAGACTTGGGGGGTACTTGTTTTAATTCAAATAAGTGAGTTTCCTGTTCTTATGCAGTACAGATATTTGATTTTGCAAAGATTGGAATTGTGTTATGCTTTTCTTTCTTGTATTGTTTACTCAATTCATCTTTTTTTTTTTTTTTTTTTTTTTTTTTTTTTTTTTTTTTTTTTTTTTTTTTTTTTTTTTTTTTTTTTTTTTTTTTTTTTTTTGGTGCATTGCTTCATGTCATAGCTATGATCGGTAAGCCAATTGGTAAAATAATATAGCAGAGTCGATTAATATAGCAATCCAATCAATAACAATAAATCAAATGCTGCTATTTGACAAACTAATTTGTGAAAGTGTAAGAAAAATGCAAATCCAACCAATAAAGATAATTTACTGTTAGATGTCACATGTTGTGGGATCGAACCCAACTATCGTGGGGTGTAGGGATGGGGCACTCTGCACCTCGTGGTGGATTAGTCCCACGCCTTGATGAGTGGATCCCCTAGGTCGATATACCTGAGTTCCCGGTTTTCCACCGAGCAGGGACTGGCAATTTGTGGTGAGGTCGCTGAGTGAATGTGGGGATACCTCGATCGAAGAAAAAAAAAAATCAATAATGATAACACAAATGCTGCTATTAGATAGTCTAACCTATAAAAATGTAAAATGTAAACACAAATGTTGTTGTTAGACCAACTTAACCTCAATACAGAAACATATTGATACCTCAAGTTTAGATGATTTTTTTTTTTTGGCTTGTTTTTCTTCTGTTTGTGCTTGGACTTTGTGGACTTTGGATTTTTCCGGTCAATTAATGTCTTGATTATATACAGGTTGGGGATTGGACATTAATCTCTATCTATTCGGAAATTTTCCATTTTTTTTAATATAAAAAACCTTAATATAGAAACATGTACTTCTATAGGGTGCCTCAACGGATCATGCTAATAATAAGCCCGCCATTTACCAACTAGACCACAAAACCACTTGGTTTACATTGAGTTTGTGCGTACTCAATCGTTTATTAACAAAACCAATAAAATAATTCGATTAATAGAGTAAATATTAAGCCATATTTGTAGCTTGATATAATTTTATATCGATTAATATTTATAGATAAACAAATTGAGTGAATAATACTTATTTATATCATTCCAAAACTTCAAAAATATTAACAGATGAAAGGAAACTATAAATATTTATTATAAACTGTGATACGAGAATATAATGAGAAGCATAAGTAATAGAAAACCGATAATAATATAAAAAATTATTCTTTTCGATATTATTAATTTTTTAGAAAATAATATGATAAATACATCAATTAATTTAATATGGAAAAAGAATTCCCTTTTCGAATTAAAAGTACAAAATTGCCGTCTTTTACCTATTCGAAGTATTTTTTTTAATTATTATTTATTGGATAAAGAGTGAAAATTGAGATTTAATTTTGAATCTGCGGAAACATATGAATTAATATGAAATGATTATAAATATGATGTAAAAATAGTAAAATAACGAGTTAAAAATATTTGACTGGATTAACAATGAGTTTTATTGAAAATTATATAGTAATTGGCTTGTATTATTTAATTATATTAATAATATAAAGTTAAGCTAAATTATATTTGAGTTGACTTTTGAGTTTCAAAAATTAAATCCTATTATAGTTTGGATATAATTTTCAATAAAATTATCCAACGAGTCCAAAGCGAAAAATTTTGTATCCAATCTCTTGAATCCAGCAAAGAGCAATGCTTCAATCCCAGATAGGATATTGACCCAAACTAACTGATATTTGGACCACCGCTAAAGGGTAATGTGGTAACATTCTGGGCTGGGTTAGACATAACCACGGGCCGAAGCCTGCTAGTTCGGCCCAAAAATGGCCTGTTCAAGCCGTTGACTCTGGTCGGAAATCGGCCCGCGGTTTTACCAGGGCCGGCTGAGGTTCATGTATTTTCACAAATTGAACCAACTGTTCTAGTTTCGGTCGGGATTTTTTTTTTTTTTTTTT